TATTTTCGTATGACACAAGAGAGAGGGGTGTGTAGTAATACTTATAGAAAGAGACCTGGAATCCTAATTTTACAAACGTTACACATGTTTTAATAATCCATAAATACATAATCACTTCATTAAGTTTGACTATTATTCAATTAGGTCCAACTAACTATATGGTCCACAATAATAGAAGAATATAAATGTTCTTACATTTTTCCACTTAGACGATATAAGTGTCGAAACACAATGAACTACTTTAAACGCGCACCTTTCATCAAACTTATGATTGAATACATATATTTATAAAATCAAAATCTATATAGAAATTAACGAAGTCATGGCAGGTACACATCTTAAACGACATGATCCTTTCGATGTACCACAAATCATTTCTAATTTAATTTACACCGTTTCTACCATAACCATAAGTCATCCAATTTTTATGTGTATACTATAAAATCAAATATCCATAATGATGATAGTATATGTAAAGAACAAAACATGTTTATGTGAATTCAATAAGTGTCAAAATCATTAAATCTAGCAATTATATTCAGTATCAGTTGATACAACAAGACTCCATTCGTTAACATCACTTTTCTTTATAAGTCTTGCAGACGCTATAGGGGATAACCATCTAGTTGTTGGATCCGTTATCATGCAATCAATACTAACATGCACAAATGACACTCTTTGTTCCTTCACTTCTCTTTTTAAGTCCAAGTATTTCAACTTTTGTGTTTCACATTCTTTGAATACTTGTCTTCTTTGAAATATTAATGCGACAAAACTACACTAATTTCTTAGCGTCTTCGATAAGATGTTGATATTTTCAAGTCCCAAGATAAACTTTCATAGCGATAAACACCACAAACTCAACCTTCATCGTAGAAGTCACACGATGGACCTTGTTCCACTTTTCCATAATTTATCTTCTTTAGTCATTATGAGCAAAAGTCTGAATTCAAGTATACAATTATAGCAAATAATTTGGATCTACTTTAAGTTAGCATGTGTTCTTTGGTGCCTTGTAAATACCTAAAAATTTTCTTTGCGACATTTAATAATCATGCAGGGATTACTTCTATACTTATTAACACACCGACAATAAATATGTTATCAAACCTAGTACAAGTTCATTAACACTTTAAACTCCTAATAATTTATATCGGCCATCACTTTTTCATTCCATTTCACCTTTCGTACATTATTTTAGACTAAATTTGTCCCTATTATGAATTGGAACTATTCTTACGGAACAACAATTCATTCTAAATATCTCAAAATCTCCCTAATTATAATTTCTATAAGATAAACTTAAAAGTTCTTGTGATCTATTTCAGATATTTCAATCCAATTGCCAAAAACACTTCGCCTATTTCAGTTAGATATTGAGATATAACATATTACTTCATGTAACATATACACATTATTGGAAGCTACTAATATGTCATCGACAAACAAAAATAAAATAACAAATCTAGTCTCGTTGACCTTAATAGAGATGTATCGATCTACAATATTGTCTACAGTGTCATAAGTAGTGATGATATATTAACTGTAAGATACCATTAACAAGAGAGTTGTTTTCGTCCATATATCGACCTATTCAACTTCCTTAATAGTGAGATTATGTGATCTCAAAACCCTTTAACTAGTTCAGGTAGACCTCATTCCTTAGTCCACCTTAGGAAGGTGATATTTACGTCCATTTCATAAAACTTTAAATCATTTCTAAAGATATTTTTCTTTACTGGGAAAGAATGTTTCCTTGTATTTAATGCTTTGTCTATGGTGTAAACCTTTATCAACAGGTCTAGTTTTAGACCTTTCAGGTAGTTGTAAATTTAAGATTTCATTATCATTCATTGATTTAAATTATTTTTTTATGTTATTATCCACCTTTTTGAATTTACACTTTCCATGGTTTATTTAAATGACGATGGATCTGAATCCATGCTAAAGTCGCATTCACTTTCAAGAAAATAACTACGTAGTGTTGGTATATATACTGAAGCTTAGATTTGGATGTTAGTAACATTATTTATCTTGAACGAGAATCGTGTTTAATTAAACAAGTTATTATGATAAAATGGTTTATCACGGATGGACAAAACGAAACAAGAATGATTGATTTACAACCTAGATGGACGAAAATGGCCAGGATGGCGAAGGTGCCATTCCCTCATATTTTTGTCAAGCTTCGAGCTTGACAATTTTCTTCCTGAGGATCGCGACCTTGTCATAGTCTCTTTTTGCTAACCGATCTCTCAGGATTTTTTGTCGGAGGGTCCTGCTCGGCCTCCTCCTTCCCAAGTTAGGTAAAGACTGACGGGTTGGTGGATCTCTCCTTGTGCTTTGTCACTGATCATCTTTCTCTTATCTTTTCAATCCGAGTTTGGTTTATGGTTTTCTCCCTTCGAATTTTTGCCCACATCATCCGAAGATTGGGTGATGGCCTTAAACTGGACGTCCTTTACCCCTATCTCCGGTGGCAGCATTCATGTCTTTTTTTGCCTATGTTTTGAGCATGTCGAACACCGAGGACGGCATGTGAGATGCCGACAACATGACTTGCATCAGTAGGCTTGCCATAGCCTTTAAAAACTATGGGTTTTGGAACATCGTGGTGAAGTCCACTGCGGGAGATTCTGTATATTGCTGCTCAGTCATTTGCGGTTGAGACACCGTTTCTTGGTTAGATGATGACATCTCCATCGGTTGTTTTAGAAGCTTTGTTGTTGTTGGTAGAAGCAGTATCTTTTTGAAGTCGAAAAGTAAACCTCAAAATTGTTTGTGACTGTTAACCACAAGGTCGGAGGTTCGATGCCTCCTTTTAGTGCCAAACTATTGATACTGGGATTTTATCAATTAGAAGCATCGAATTAGTGTTGGTAACATGGTGATTAAACAATTTAAATTTGGCATAATCTAATGAATTTGCTTAAAATCAAGTAATGATGAAGTCGGATAATTTCGCAATTGAGGTTGGATATTCTCCTTTAAGGCTGTATTTAATGAAGGAATACATGTCTTTTTTACAGAGAATCTTTCTCACCCTTTTTATAATGGATTCTTAGGACTATGTATAGTAAGGGTGGCCCGATTACCGTTCATCGGGTAGTAAAATTGCGCATTAAATTAAAATTACTTGCACTAAATGTTGCACATGACCCTAAGAAGCTTTTGCACATAGGCTTGTAGACCTTTTGTGGCATGTCCCGTCTTTAATGTTACAGGTGCAAGTTATTATTTTTACAGTTTCTGTTGCCTCAGTGTGATCAATTCAAGTCCTTAAGCATCAATCCCTCTCATTTTGCCAAGTCATGTGCTCAACTTCGTTTCCTAATAACTTCTTTATCGGGTCTACACTTTCAATTATCCAACTTGGGTGTCCCGTCTGCTTTTTGCCGGCCCCTTCTGTTTCTGTTTCCATTTTTGGGTTCGTTTTTACTCGTCTTACCCGACCTAAGTACTTTACTCGGTTATTTCCTTACTTAGCGAGTATTTAATCTTGAATCTGTCCAGCTTAGCTTGGATGTCCAATCTTTCACTTTATCCTGGGATTTGTTGTTGTACTTTATTCTTCTTCAATATTATGCATTATTTTAATTTGAATCCTTAACAAATTTATTGAATTTTCCAACTTCTATATTTGTGGCTAAGTAATGATGTTATAAAGAATCTCACCATTGCTGAAATTGAGACTTTGTTCTGAAGGCGTGTCACAAGTATTCGAGAATATTCGTCTATGCCTTATTAGATAGAGATAGCCTTCAGACCACTTCAAACCACTTTATATTGGATGAGCTAAATTACGATCGAAGGCCCTACTTGTGGAGCATGAAGCACTTCTTCAAAGAATACGTAACGAATAGAAAGGAGTCTAATAAAAGTTATGTCCGCTATGAATTAATACTCTCCAATTAAATACAACTCGTGCCATGACTTACGCACCAATGCTAAATTATTGAAGTAAACTTAATAATCCAAGAACAATCTCCTCTGAGGCTTGTGGGCGATTGAGATAAAGATCTCTCACCCTCCCTCCCGGCGGGGCTTAGCCATCGAACCATCCCCCGGCCAAGGTCGAGACTGCCGGCTGCCAGAGTTCTGGCCCAAGCCTCTGTGAGGTGCCGACCTTCGTCCCGCCAGGAGTTTTGTTTTTCAGGTTTTGGGTCCTTGGGTTCGGCTACCAGTCCATTTGATCCCTCTTTAGAGCGCTCCAGCGATGCAAGGTGGTGTTCTCGCGGCGGATCCCTCTCCAGTCCCCGGCGTGGATGGTTTCTCGGAGTTTCAGATCTGATTCGAGAGCAGACTCTTCCCCAGATCTGGCTAGGCGACACAAGTGGCCGTAGCTTTCGGGCTTGAGGTTCTGGTTTGTGGCTTCATTAGATCTCTTTGCTAGTGGATGTGGATCATTTGAGGTCTCGAGTGCCTTGGCGTTGAGTCTATTAAGTGTAGGGGAGGTCCTAGTTTATTTGTTTACTAGGTGTGTGTTTTTTCTTTCTGTATTTGTTTTGTCAATCCAACTTGTCTGATTTATCTCCTTTATGGAGTTTTCTTTCCCTCTTTAGGATTTTGCTTTGGGTTTGCGGTTGCTCCTTATTGGAATTGTACCTCTTGGATTTCTCTAGAATTTTAAGGGGGTTGGTCCAATTATCAGGTTCCTGGTGTCAGTTGACATCTCCTCTGTACTCATTTTGAGTTTTCTAGTTATATATTTATTTGTCATTAGAAAAAAATATAGGATAATTTTAATACAACTTTAGAAAAAGGACGTCTCCATCATCATAACAATATTAATAATAGTAATAATAATAATAATAATAATATAAATAATAATAATAATAATAATAATAATAATAATAATAATATTATAATAATAATAATAATAATAATAATAATAATAATAATAATAATAATAATAATAATAATAATAATAATAATAATAATAATAATAATAATAGCACCACGAAAAAAAGTAAAGAAAATAAATAAAATTCATGCACCCACTACTTCTCCCCTTTCAGCAGCCTCCTACCACCACCTCCGACGCCTTCCCAAGGTCGACGCTGCCGCTCCGGTGATCTCCAATCGTTCTCGTGGAAGACGACGACCAAATCCGCAAAAGCGCGCAGCACATTCCTGTGAGTCTTTTCGTTGTTCATATCCAAATAACGAAACAGAAGCTCTTCCAAAAAATCCCAATCCACTTTCTCGCTGCCGTTCAGGCGCACCTCCACCACCTCCGCCATCGACCGCTGGAAATTCCCTGTATGGACTTGGAGAATACTTCAGGGTCGCGATGAAATCGTCCGCCTCTATCTCCTCTTTTCGTCGGCTATCATCAGCTTCAGATCAGACAAGATCCCTTTATTTTTTATTTCTTCATATACTATTTCGGCCCCAACCGAGTATACTCCTTGATAACTTTCTCTCAGCTCTTTTTGTTGTTGTTTTCTGAGAGCTCAGATTTGGGATCTTTGGGTTTCTGTCATTGGGTCCAAGGCTTGTTTGACTTCTTTCTCGTTTGAGGTCTTACCTCTAGGCACCTCGAAGGTCGGCGGGGCATAAACTCCTGAGTCATAATGTGTTTTTGGGCCTAGGAAGGGAACTCTTGGTAGGTGGTCGGCTTATTTGGTAAGTGGTCGGTTTATTCTCGCAATGACCATCTGGACATCGAGTTGGATTTCAGACTCGAGTAAGCCGATGCCAACAATGTATTCTAGTGACGTGACTCTATATTCTAAACTTGCTCGTTGAACTGAGCAACATAATCTATGAGGTTCTCCTCGGCCCCCTAGACTATGCTTGTGATTGACTCCTTCAGAATCATGCATACCTGGGACATGATGAAATGAGATAGGAATACCGACCTCAACTGCTGCCAGGTCTAAATTGAGTGGGGGTAAAATGAATGGTACCACCTATGAGCTTTGGGCCTTAGGGTCAGCGAGAATATTCTTCATCTAATGGTGTCCCCGACCCAATGCAAATCCATCCATGATATGTAGAGCCCTATATGTGAGTCTGGGTTCGAGGTGTCGTCATAAAGTCCAATCTAGTTTTTTTTTTTTTATTTTGTTTGACAATAGGTTGCGCAAGATGTTGGACAATAGCAATGAGGCCGTGTCCATGACACCGTTGGACGAAAATAGCCAGGATGGCGAAGGTGCCCTTCCCTTATATTTTTGTCAAGCTTCGAGCTTGACAATTTTCTTCTTGAGGATCGCGACCTTGTCAAAGTCTCTTTTGGCTAACCGATCTCTCAGGATTTTTTGTCGGAGGGTCCTGCTCGGCCTCCTCCTTCCCAAGTCATGTAAAGACCGACGGGTTGGTGGATATCTCTTTGTGCTTTATCACTGATCATCTCTCTCATATCTTTTCCATCGGAGTCTGGTTTATGGTTTTCTCCCTTCGATTTTTTGCCCACATCGTCCAGAGATTGGGTGATGGCCTTAAACTGGACGTCCTTTACCCCTATCTCCGGAGGCGGCATTCATGTCTTTTTTTGCCTATGTTTTGAGCATGTCGAACACCAAGGACGGTGCGTGAGATGCCGACAACATGACTTTCATCAGTAGGCTTGCCATAGCCTTTAAAAACTATGGGTTTTGGATCATCGTCGTGAAGTCCACTGCTGGAGACTCTGTATATGGCTGCTCAGTCATTTGTGGTCGAGACACCGTTTTCTGGTTAGATGATGACATCTCTGTCGATTGTTTTAGAAGCTTTGTTGTTGTTGGTAGAAGCAGTATTTATTTTGAAGTCGAAAAGTAAACCTCAAAATTGTTTGTGACTGTTAACCACAAGGTCGGAGGTTCAATGCCTCCTTTTAGTGCCAAACTATTGATACTGGCATTTTATCAATTAGAAGCATCGAATTAGTGATGGTAACACGGTGATTAAACAATTTAAATTTGGCATAATATGATGAAGTTGCGTAAAATCAAGTAATGATGAAGTCGGATAATTTCGCAATTAAGGTTGGATATCCTTTAAGGCTGTATTTAATGAAGGAATATATGTCTTTTTTACAGAGAATCTTTCTCACCCCTTTTATAATGGATCTTAGGACTATCTATAGTAAGGGTGGCCCGATTACTGTTCATTGGGCAGTTCAATTGGGCATTAAATAAAACTTATGTGTATTAAATGTTGCACATGACCCTAAGAAGCTTTTACACATAGGCTTGTAGACCTTTTGTGGCATGTACCGTCTTTAATGATACATGTGAAAGTTATTATTTTTACAGTTTCTGTTGCCTCAGTGTGATCGGTTGAAGTCCTTAAGCATCAATCCCTCTCATTTTGCCAAGTCATGTGCTCAACTTTGTTTCTTAATAACTTCTTTATCGGGTCAACACTTTCAGTTATCCAACTTGGTTGTCCCGTCTGCTTTTTGCTCGGCCCCCTCTGTTTGCGTTTCCATTTAGGAGGTTCGTTTTTACTCGTCTTACCCGACCTAATTACTTGACTCGGTTATTCCTTTACTTAGCGAGTATTTAATCTTGAATCTGTCCAGCTTAGCTTGGATGTCAATCTTTCACTTTATCCTATGATTTGTTGTAGTACTTTATTCTTCTTCAGTATTATGCATTATTTTAATTTGAATCCTTAATAAATTTATTGAATTTTCCAACTTCTATATTTGTCGCTAAGTAATGATGTTATAAAGAATCTCACCATTGCTGAAATTGAGACTTTGTTGCGAAGGCGTGGCACAAGTGTTCGAGAATATTCGTCTATGCCTTATTAGACAGAGATAGCCTTCAGACCACTTCAAACCGCTTTATATTGGATGAGCTAAATTACGATCGAAGGCCCTACTTGTGGAGCATGAATCAGTTCTTCTGAGAATAAGTAACAAACAGAAAGAAGTCTAATAAAAGCTATGAATTAATACTCTCCAATAAATACAACTCGTGCCATGACTTACGCACCAATGCTAAATTATTGAACTAAACTTAATAATCCAAGAACAATCTTCTCTGAGGCTTGTAGGCAATTGAGATGAAGATCTCTCACCCCCTCCCGGCGGGGCTTAGCCATCGAACCATCCCCCATCCAAGGTCAAGACTGCCGTCCGCCAGAGTTTGGGCCCAAGCCTCGAGGAGGTGCCGACCTTCATCCCACCAGGAGTTTTGTTTCTCCGGTTTCGGGTCCTTGGGTGCGGCTAGCAGTCTATTTGATCCCTCTTTAGAGCGCTCCAGCAAGGCAAGGTGGTGTTCTCGCGGCGGATCCCTCTCTATTCTCCGGCGTGGATGGTTTCTCGGAGTTTCAGATCTGATTCGAGGGAAGACTCTTCCCCAGATCTGGCTAGGCGGTACAAGTGGTCGTAGCTTTCGGGCTTGAGGTTCTGGTTTGTGGCTTTGTTAGATCTCTTTGCTAGTGGATGTAGATTGTTTGAGGTCTCGAGTGCCTTGGAGTTGAATCTATTAGGTGTAGGGGAGGTCCTAGTTTATTTGTTTATTAGGTGTGTGTTTTTTCTTTCTGTATTTCGTTTTGTCAGTCCTACTTGTCTGATTTATCTCCTTTATGGAGTTTTCTTTCCCTCTTTGGGATTTTGCTTTGGGTTTGCAGTTGCCTCCTTATTGGAGTTGTACCTCTTGGATTTCTCTAGAATTTCAAGGGGGTTGGTCCAATTATCTGGTTCCTGGTGTCAGTTGACATCCCCTCTGTACTCATTTTGAATTTCTAGTTATATATTTATATGCCATTAGAAAAAAAAAATATAGGATAATTTTAATAGAACTTTAGAAAAAGGATGTCTCCATCATCATAACAATAACAATAATAATAATAATAATAATAATAATAATAATAATAATAATAATAATAATAATAATAACACCACGAAAAAACAGTAGAGAAAAGAAATAAAATTCATGCACCCACTACTTCTCCCCTTTCAGCAGCCTCCCACCACCATCTCCGACGCCTTTCCAAGGCCGACGCTGCCGCTCCGGTGATCTCCAATCGTTCTTTTGCAAGACGACAAACAAATCCACATAAGCGAGCAATACGTTCATGTGAGTCTTTTCGTTGTTCAGATCCAAATAACGAAACAGAAGCTCCTCCAGAAAATCTCAATCCACTTTCTCGCTGCCGCTCAGGCGCACCTCAACCACCTCTGCCATCGACCGCCGGAATTCCCAGTACGGACTCGGAGAATACTTCAGGGTCGCGATGAAATCGTCCGCCTCGATCTCCTTTTTTCGTCGGCTATCATCAGCTTCAGGTCATGCTAGATCCCCTTATTTTTTATCTCTTCATATACTATTTCGGCCCCAACCGAGTATACTCTTTGATAACTTTCTCTCAGCTCTTCTTGTTGTTGTTTTCCGAGAGCTCAGATTTGGGATCTTTGGGCTTCTTTCATTATGTCCCAGGCTTGTTTGACTTCTTTCCCGTTTGAGGTCTTACCTCTAGGAACCTCGAAGGTCGGCGAGGCATAAACTCCTCAGTCATAATGTGTTGTTGAGCCCAGGTCTGGAACTCTTGGTAGGTGGTCGGCTTATTTGGTAAGTGGTCGGTTTATTCTGGCGTAGTGACCATCTGAACATCGAGTTGGATTTCAGACTCGAGTAAGCCGATGCCAATACTCTCTCATAGTGATGTGACTCCATATTCTAAACTCGCTCGTTGAACTGAGCAACATAATTTTTGAGGTTCTCCTCGGCCCCCTAGACTGCGCTCGTGATTGACTCCTTCAGAATCATGCATACCTGGGACCAGATGAAATGAGATAAGAATGCCGACCTGAACTGCTGCCAGGTCTAAATTGAGTGGGGGTACAATGAATGGTACCACCTATGAGCTTTGGGCCTTAGGGTCAGCGAGAATATTCTTCATCTAATGGTGTCCCCGACCCAATGCAAATCCATCCATGATATGTATAGCCCTATATGTGAGTCTGTGTTCAAGGTGTCGTCATAAAGTCCAATCTAGTTTATTTTGATTTTGTTTGACAATAGATTGCGCACGATGTTGGACAATACCGATGAAGCCGTGTCCATGACACCGTTGGACGAAAATAGCCAAGATGGCGAAGGTGCCCTTCCCTCATATTTTTGTCGTGCTTCGAGCTTGAAAATTTTTTTCCTGAGGATTGCGACCTTGTCATAGTCGCTTTTGGCTAACCGATCTCTTAGGATTTTTTTGTCAGAGGGTCCTACTCGGGCTCCTCTTCCGAAGTCAGGTAAAGACCAACGGGTTGGTGGATCTCTCCTTGTGCTTGATCACTGATCATCTCTCTCATATATTCTCCATCCGAGTCTGGTTTATGGTTTTCTCCTTTCGAATGTTTGCCCACATCGTCCGGAGATTGGGTGATGGCCTTAAACTGGACGTCCTTTACCCCTATCTCCGGTGGCGGCATTCATGTCTTTTTTTAACTATGTTTTGAGCATGTCGAACACCGAGGACGGCACGTGAGATGCCGAAAACATGACTTGCATCAGTAGGCTCGCCATAACCTTTAAAAACTATGGGTTTTGGAACATCAGCGTGAAGTCCACTGCGGGAGACTTTGTATATGGCTGATCAGTCATTTGCGGTCGAGACACCGTTTCTTGGTTAGATGATGACATCTCCGTCGGTTGTTTTAAAAGCTTTGTTATTGTTGGTAGAATAAGTATATTTTTTTAAGTCGAAAAGTAAACCTCAAAATTGTTTGTGACTGTTAACCACAAGGTCGGAGGTTCGATGCCTCCTTTTAGTGGCAAACTATTGATACTGGGATTTTATCAATTAGAAGCATCGGATTAGTGCTGGTAACACGATGATTAAACAATTTAAATTTGGCATAATATGATGAATTTTCGTAAAATCAAGTAATGATGAAGTCGGATAATTTCGCAATTGAGGTTGGATATTCTCCTTTAAGGTTGTATTTAATGAAGGAATATGTGTCTTTTTTACAGAGAATCTTTCTCTCCCCTTTTATAATGGATTCTTAGGACTATGTATAGTAAGGGTGGCCCGATTACTGTTCATCAGGCAGTAAAATTGCGCATTAAATAAAAATTACGTGCATTAAATGTTGCACATGACCCTAAGAAGCTTTTGCACATAGGCTTGTAGACCTTTTGTGGCATGTCCCGTCTTTAATGTTACAGGTGCAAGTTATTATTTTTACAGTTTCTGTTGCCTCAGTGTGATCGATTCAAGTCCTTAAGCATCAATCCCTCTCATTTTCCCAAGTCATGTGCTCGACTTTGTTTCCTAATAACTTCTTTATCGGGTCTACAGTTTCAATTATCCAACTTGGGTGTCCCGTCTGCTTTTTGCTCGGCCCCCTATGTTTCTGTTTCCATTTTTGGGGTTCGTTTTTACTCGTCTTACCCGACCTAAGTACTTGACTCGGTTATTTCTTTACTTAGCGAGTATTTAATCTTGAATCTGTCCAGCTTAGCTTGGATGTCAAATCTTTCACTTTATCCTGTGATTTGTTGTAGTACTTTATTCTTCTTCAGTATTATGCATTATTTTAATTTGAATCCTTAACAAATTTATTGAATTTTCCAACTTCTATATTTGTGGTGTTGTAATGATGTTATAAAGAATCTCACCATTGCTGAAATTGAGACTTTGTTGCGAAGGCGTGGCACAAGTGTACGAGAATATTCATCTATGCCTTATTAGACAGAGATAGCCTTCAGACCACATCAAACCGCTTTATATTGGATGAGCTAAATTACGATCGAAGGCTCTACTTGTGGAGCATGAATCACTTCTTCAGAGAATAAGTAACAAACAGAAAAGAGTCTAATAAAAAATTATGTCCACTATGAATTAATACTCTCCAATTAAATACAACTCGTGCCATGACTTACGCACCAATGCTAAATTATTGAAGTAAACTTAATAATCCAAGAACAATCTTCTTTGAGGCTTGTGGGCGATTGAGATGAAGATCTCTCACCCCCCTCCCGGCGTGGCTTAGCCATCGAACCATCCCCCGGCCAAGGTCGAGACTACCGGCCGCCAAAGTTCGGGCCCAACCCTCGAGGAAGTGCCGACCTTCGTCCCGCCAAGAGTTTTGTTTTACAGGTTTCGGGTCCTTGGTGCGACTAGCAGTCCATTTGATCCCTCTTTCGAGCTCTCCAACAAGGCAAGGTGGTATTCTCGCGGTGGATCCCTTTCTATTCCCCGGCGTGGATGGTTTCCCGGAGTTTCAGATCTGATTCGAGAGCAGACACTTCCCCAGATCCGTCTAAGCGGCACAAGTGGCCGCAGTTTTCGGGCATGAGGTTTTGGTTTGTGGATTCGTTAGATCTCTTTGCTAGTGGATGTGGATCGTTTGAGGTCTCGAGCGCCTTGGCGTTGAGTCTATTATGTGTAGGGAGGTCCTATTTTATTTGTTTATTAGGTGTGTGTTTTTTCTGTATTTCGTTTTGTCAGTCCCGCTTGTCTGATTTATCTCCTTTATGGAGTTTTCTTCCCCTTTTTGCGATTTTCCTTTGGGTTTGCAGTTGCCTCCTTATTGGAGTTGTACCTCTTGGATTTCTCTGGAATTTCAAGAGGTAGGTCCAATTATCAAGTTCTTAGTGTCAGTTGACATCTTTTGTGTAATCATTTTGAGTTATCTAATTAAAAATTTATTTGCAGTTGTAAAAAAAAAAAAATATAGAATAATTTTAATACAACTTTAAAGAAAATGTCTCCATCATCATAATAATAATAATAATAATAATAATAATAATAATAATAATAATAATAATAATAATAATAATAATAATAATAATAACACCACAAAAAAACAATAAAGAACAAAGAAATAAAATTCATGCACCCCACTACTTCTCCCCTTTCAACAGCCTCCCACCACCACCTCCGACGCCTTCCCATGGCCGACGCTGCCACTCCGGTGATCTCCAATCGTTCTCGTGCAAGACGATGAGCAAATCCACAAAAGCCCGCAGCACGTTCCTGTGAATCTTTTCGTTGTTCAGATCCAAATAACAAAACAGAAGCTCCTCTAGAAAATCCCAATCCACTTTCTCGCCGCCGCCCAGGCGCACCTCCACCATCTCCGCCATCGACCGCCGGAATTCCCTGTACGGACTCGGAGAATACTTCAGGATCGCGATGAAATCGTCTGCCTCGATCCCCTCTTTTACCTTCTCCGCCTCTGAATTTGGCCGGGGATGTTCTTCGGCGGCGGAGCCAGGTTTTTTCTCACCTCCGATCTATTTAATAAAATCTATTGGGCGTGTTGCTCCTTGATTGTCGCATCCTCTTCGTAGAGTGATTTGAAATTTTCCAATAGGAGGCGGGCGTTGTCCGATAAGTTTGCGCCGCCGCTTTTGTGCCCATCGCCGTCCGCCGTATTGAGGTGCCTGCTAGCATGGTATTTGTTAGATTGGATATGTTTGCTGGAAATTTTGATTTTTTGAGAAGCGCTAGTGCAACTGAATTTCTGAGTCTGCTTTGACATTTTTGGGTTTACTTTCAGTGCAAAAATTTTTGTAAAATGCTTTTTTTTAATTATTATTAGTTGGGTTTTTGGGAAAGAATATTCGCAATTTTGAAACTTTTTGAAGTGAGCAATTTATACTGTAGTATACTTTGATGTTGGAGTTAATGTGGAATTACAGCAAATTCTGATGGAAAATATTTTGCCATTTGTATTTATGTCATAAATTAGAGTTCGATATTCTGTTTGTTTTATATAAGCATACATGGATTAATTTTGTATTCATCTCACATTCCACTCGTGACATGAGTAACATGCAAATTTAGGTAATTTCTGAAAAGTATCGACTGAAAAATATGTTATACTCAGTACGTAAGAAGCATTTATACACCTTGGAGACCGTGGAATGTTTTACAAATTCTAATTTTTTTAATAGTTTTGCTATAGAGTCATTGAATGGCTCAACTTATGGAGCAATTCACAGTTATTCACACATTGTGTATTGACATGTGTCCTACAATAAATACACTTTAGACATGTGTTAATATATTAAGTGATTGATGGCTTCATATGAAAACCATCCGATGGCGCCATAGAATTTCTGTTTTTTTTTTTTAATTAAATATTTTGGCTCATTTAGTATTTATCATTTAGATCATTTTATATGAACTTACAAATTGATATAGATATGATGTGTAGATGACACAATTTAATTTTTTAATAAATTATATTATTATTAAAATCACAATAAGTTCCATAACAAATTTTGTTTTCTAGATGAGATAATTATAAATAGTAAAAATGTAAAAAAAAATACATCTACTAACCTCACTTTGTGATTACACAGATGATCAAGGGGACTAGACAAACACAAAAACATGAACAAAGACAACAAAAACACAAAAACAAAGATCACAATGGGAGACTACTAGGGCTGAGCATGGGACTCGGAGAATTCTGAACCGTTCCAAAAATCGAATCCAAATTACTCCGAACCGAAAAATAACGTTGACTGTTTGACTTTCTTCGAGCCGAACCGAATCGATAAAATAATTGGTATGGTTCTGGAGATTTCACAAATATCCGTACCGAGAACCGAACCGAACCGTCCCATACCATCGGAGGTTCGATGCCTCCTTTTAGTTCCAAACTATTGATATTGAGATTTTATCAATTAGAAGCATCGAATTAGTGCTGGTAACATGGTGATTAAACAATTTAAATTTGGCATAATATGATGAATTTGCGTAAAATGAAGTAATGATGAAGTCGGATAATTTCACAATTGAGGTTGGATATTCTCCTTTAAGGATGTATTTAATGAAGGAATATATGTCTTTTTTACAGAGAATCATTCTTACCCCTTTTATAATGGATTCTTAGGACTATCTATAGTAAGGGTGACCCGATTACTGTTCATCGGGCAGTACAATTGGGCATTAAATAAAAATTACGTGCATTAAATGTTGCACATGACCCTAAGAAGCTTTTGCACATAGGCTTGTACACTTTTGTGGCATGTCCCGTCTTTAATGATGCACATGCAAGTTATTATTTTTACAGTTTCTGTTGCCTCAGTGTGATCGGTTCAAGTCCTTAAGCATCAATCCCTCTTATTTTGTCAAGTCATGTGCTCGAATTTGTTTCCTAATAACTTCTTTATCGAGTCTACACTTTCTGTTATCCAACTTGGATGTCCCGTCTGCTTTTTGCTCGGCCCCCTCTATTTCCGTTTCCATTTCCGGGGTTCGCTTTTACTCGTCCTACCCGACCTAAGTACTTGACTCGGTTATTTATTTACTTAGCGAGTATTTAATCTTGAATCTGTCCAGCTTAGCTTGGATGTCAAATCCTTCACTTTATCTTGTGATTTGTTGTAGTACTTTATTCTTCTTCAGTATTATGCATTATTTTAATTTGAATCCTTAAAAAATTTATTTAATTTTCCAACATCTATATTTGTGGCTAAGTAATGATGTTATAAAGAATCTCACCATCTCTGAAATTGAGACTTTGTTGTGAAGGCGTGTCACAAGTATTCGAGAATATTCGTCTATGCCTTATTAGATAGAGATAGCCTTCAGACAACTTCAAACCACTTTATATTGGATGAGCTAAATTACGATCGAAGGCCCTACTTGTGGAGCATGTGTAACACCCCACCTTATTAGTAAATCAGAGTTGCGCAATTAATCGCAAAGTCTGTGAAAAACTAAACATTTTTACCTTGCGATACTGATTTGGGGTGCTACCGTGAAAATCTTTACTTAACTTTAGAAAAACCGTTGGTTTTAACTTATTAAAACGTCCGGTTATTTAAAATCTGTTTATCTGAAAATTTTATCAAATGTGATAAAATGTCAAAAATCATCAAACCATCGTCAAAAGATAGTCAAAATGTAAGCGGAAGCATAAGTAATAGTTATACAGTCCAAACACATATAAACAAATGTCCTGGATATCCCGAGCTGCTCCCGTCATGTCACACCGCCGGCCCGACCTGCTGACCTGAAAAGTAAGATATAACTGGGGCGTGAGCACTAAGCACTGTGCTCCGTGGAAACTCATACTA